CCGACAAGTGATCTTCCAATGTCAGCCGTGGGTCCAGGAGGACTCCCAAGTTGCGTGCCTTCTCTGAGGGGGCCAGAGTTTCGCCCCCTATAGTCAGCGATGGGATCAGCTGACTATGCCGAGGCGCTGGCATCCACAGCCACTCGGTCTTGGAAGGGTTGAGTCTGAGTCTGAGTCTGTTCCTCCCCATCCAGACCCTTATAACAAACCCAACTATTAGAGACATCATTTCTTCAGGAGCACGCTTACATCACATCATCCCCAAAATCCTTCCAGAAGAGCTGAGTTTTATTTATTTTCTGAATATTAGCAAGGATGGGGCCATCCTTAAGTGATATTTAGCAAAGTTGGGTGGTTGGGCAGTTTATCCACATGGTCCATGGTAGTGACACTCCCTAGAGTTAAGACATAGTGTTAAGTAGCCTAGACTACTGCTATGCATTCTTCATGGGCTGTCTTTAAAGATCACTGAAAAACTACATTTAATTTAATAGGCAGCAGCCTTCATCCTAACAAATGAAAGACATCACAATCGCATTATAGCAGGGGAGAGACCTGCTGTTCTTACCTTAAAGCCCCAAATGGTTTTAGTCCTAGATGCCAAGATCATTGTTTTGTAGGATTAAGCAGTGCAGAACACAGTCTCTGGCTTTTGGTGGTCCCCCATTACAGGAAAGTTAAAAAAAAAGATTGTTGCAGTCAATGTTTTTATATTGTGGCCATTATACTTTGGAACAGTCTCCTTCTTGAGGCCAAACTCTTGCTTTTGGAAGCTAATGAAAACTGAGTTCCAGAGTGTATATGGCAAATAATAACTAGTAATATCTGCCTTTATAAATTGTATGGATCTGAAATATGAATGTATCGTATTATTCTAATTTTAATTTTGTTATTATTTTGAATTACTGAAAATTATGATAGCATATAAAATGGATACAGTACATCCATTCATTGCACATATAAATTGCACAGATACTATAAATTAATAACAGTAGTCTGGAAAAACTGATACAAGAAGTTCTTTTTGTTGGCTATGAAGGTTAAGTCCTTAACCTAAGTAAGTATAAGTCTTTACATTCCCATATTTCATTAACATTTCAAGCATTCTGATTTATAGTTACTGAATTGTAGGCTAGACCTATAATTTGTCTGCTCATCTGGGAAAAAGATTATTTGCCCTCTTCCAGTAGAAAAAAATAGTATATTATTATACATCCCTATGAATAAAATCTAATGTATAACTGCCAGGTTAATTGTTACAGAAAAACTCAGTCTGATAACTGAGTTCTGTGTATTTACTACAGCCCTATAATATGTTTTAGTTCCATTAATGTTCAAATACCCTACTTAGCATCCAAGACAGCAGCCATGAAGTTATCCATAAATTAGTCAATCCACAATCTTGACCTCGTGGTCAAAACCTGGCATATTTCTAACCTATTAGAGATCAACCAGCTAGCATATTTTTTCAAATGCTAGCCGATACTTTTTCCATATATAGTTTTTGTACTGTTTATGCAACAAAGCCAAATAATTAAGATTCTCTTTCATCCATAGATTACACAATTGATCCCTTTTCTTTTTACCATTCTGTCTCTTAAGCCATCAATTAATTTCTACCCTTTCTTTGAATCTATAACTACTCTGTAATTCAGGTATCCATTGTTTGCT